TGTAATGTGTATAGGCTCCCCCCGCTGGTTATCATTTGGCCTATTCTGTTTTCACTCTAGATCTTGCATCCACACTCTGACAGGCTTATCTACACCCACATATGTTCACTGGTCAGTGTGCATGCCTGAGTGCCACTGCCCCATATGCAGCAGATGAGATTGCACTGCTGTCTTCAAAGAGCAGATGCACCAGTATGTATTTCTCAACAGGCTTTCAGAGTAAAAATAGAGCCTTGGTGGGGGGTTCATTTTCTGGTACTGATGATAGGCCTAATGTGTAGTGGATCAAAGCATGCATCTGAAATTTAGAGGAATTTAAATGTAGATTAAGAAGATTGCTCTGTTTGCTGATTAACCCTTAGAAGTTGCATTTATCGCAGGAATAACAAAAGCATGGTGTAGTTTGATATGAACTGTTTCCAACTTACAGTGCATTGAAAAGTTTGTCTTCGGATTTTTTCAACTATACTGAGGGTGTTGGTAAGTAAAAGAAATGTTTTATTGTGAATTGAATTTGCTGAGGAGTTACAGTTTTACGTACTCTGTTTTTTTAGCAGTGCCCGCAAATAACTACTTTCAGTTCTCTGAAGAACCATATTTAGGGAAGAAAGATTTTGTGAGCATGAAGAGCCTTTCAGAGGGTCCCTATGCATATTTTTTTACATTTTTGTATTTTCAACTTTTTACATTTGTGTACCAAAAATAATAGATTTTTAAATGACCATGGATGGGGCTAAACTGCTGTAGACAGAATTGGTGGGTGTATGTAAATGCGCTGGTATTCATGGCACCACAAAAACTGTTAATTCTGAAAGGGCTGTATTTGCAGTTTAGTTTAGATGGACTGTATGGACTGGAGAGTGAGCAGTTTCTTTTTCAAACTTTACATCAAACTCTTGTTTTAAAAAGTGAAGAAGATTCAGTTTTTTCTTGGGCCCTTTAAAGGTTTAAAGAACCTTCACATAAAGATTCTGAACCAATTTAAGGGTTCTTCCTAACTTTTATATGGAGGTTCTTTAAACTGTAAAACAGTTCTTCATGCTCACTCATCTCATTTACAAAAATGGTACTGTAAAGAACCATTCATTGAAAGCTTTTTCAGAAATCCAAATGGCTCCTATGGCTTTGTGCAAAGCACCATTTTTTTGACACCTCTATTTTTAAAGGGACTATATTTGACAATTTTCCTGCTTTTTAATTTTTCCCTGAGGGAAATAACACTACAATATAAATAAGTGTGGTGTAATGTACCAAAAACATCACCATGTGTTTTTTATATGACTATTTTCAAACCTCTCCTTATTCCTTGGAATTAAACAGGCTGTGCCCTTAAGGCTGATATATGTAAGTGAGCTCTGTTCTGATTGACTGCTCTGTATTGTGTCTCATTTGTAAAGCAGTCCAGACTGGAACATTCCTTATATCTTATGGCTGTGGGCCATATAGACAGAGATATGTAAATGTCTTCGTTTTCGTTACATCACAGAAACAATGAATTAAAATCCTGTTTTTGCAGCTTAGTTTTAATGTATGGATTGTCATAGACTAGAAAGTGAATGGTATGTTTTGAAGCTTTAATGACGTGTGTATTCTACATCAAAGCCATTCTGCAATATGGGTGGAGTCTTGTTTTCCAGAAGAGAAAAAAAAACATTTTGCCATGTCTATCATTTAGCGGATATTGAAACACCTGGAAAAGGTAGTGGAAGTGCAGACCAGAAGCTGTCGATACAGAATGCAAATTGAGTGTAAATATAATTCATTGCATAACTCGCCATATAATTGATTATAATCGCTTAATTAGAATAGAGCAAAAGTAGTAACTTTTAAAGTCGGCAGTATACTGAGAAAAAAAACATGAGAGACGACATCTTTTTGGCCAAAACAACACAATGAATTGAGTTTGTACGGTGCGGTGTAAACCAGCTACTTAACAGAACTCCTAACCACAGTGCCGTTTTTTATGAGACCTTACTGCGACTGGTCTACATCACATTATCATTCATATCGCTGCACGGAGCATCTAGCAGTACAGAGTGTCAGAAAGATGTTCACTGTGTTCTTTTTGAGTGTACTAATGACAGCACATTCAGCGGCACTTTGATTTTGTTTGGTTCGTTTGCCTTTGGAAGTATACTGCCTGCTTAAAGGGTTAACATGAGCAGCCTGGTTGGTTACCTTGCTGCTGTTATGGTTTCAGTGTGTTTGTGTACTGAGAAGCACTTGGTAGAGTCAAGCCACATCTTGCTAGGTTTCAGCATAGTTCAGCTCATGCCAGGCCTTGAGGCTTTATACGAATATTTATATTATTTCATGTCTTATGTCTCTTGAGTTGAGTGAGTTGCATTGTTATTATACTGCAGCACTGCCAGGGCCTGCCCAGACCACACACCTCAGTAGTTTTTACTTCTGTATAGTGAAAGATCCCACCACAGCAGTGCCTGGTGAGAGTTACCCTCGTATGGTTTGGGCTTCAAGGCAGTAGAAGGTTTTTGGGCTGTGTGTATGTGTGTGGTACAGTATTTCCTCACCACAGTGTTAAGGAGTGTTTCTGCCTCACCCTGCCCAGCACGCTGAGCATTGCTGAAGGCAGGAAGGAAATGAGAGTTTGAACTTGGTGACATCAAGCAGAAACTGGTGTAAACATTGCCAATGAGCCATGCCACAACTAGCTAACATTCAGAGTTGGCTAGATAGCATTCTTTTGGAATGTCTGTGCAGGATTATAGCATGTTTATGAGGCTCTGTAATGTGGCCGTTCAGCTTGCTGATGATGAGCTCAGCCCTGAGTCATAGAGAGCTGATAGTGGATGGCAGGAGTTCGCCTTCCTCTGCTCCTGTGGAGGCTTGACTCAGCCAGCTTACCTGTCGGTCATTAAACCCAGAGACAGGTTCTATTGTGACCTCATACTGATGTCATCTGTCTACAAGTCTGAACAGCCACTGATTGGATGAGTGGGAGTTAGGGTGAAAGAGCTAGAAGCAAAATGTTTTCCAAGGAATTCCTGTCTTGTTTAGTATCTGCCATATAGAGAGCAGATCAGGACAGAACAACTGATATCACCAACCATAAATACCAATGTTTAATGATTTACAACTACACACATTTTAAGGCTTAACTCAACTGATCGTAGTATCTAGTTAGCTATTCATAGGCTGCAAACACGCAAATTATTAAGTGTAGCAATAACTACAAAATCATAGCAAATACTATGAAACCACAGCAAGAACAACCAAACCGTAACAATAACTGTCAAACCACAGCAAGACCTACCAAACCACAGCAAGAGCTACCAAACCACAGCAAGACCTACCAAACCACAATAAAACTACCAAACCACAGCAAGACCAACCAAATCTCAGCATGGCCTACCAAACCACAACAAAACTACCAAACCACAGCAAGACCAACCAAATCTCAGCATGGCCTACCAAACCACAACAAAACTACCAAACCACAGCAAGATCAACCAAACCACAACAAAAACTACCAAACCTCAGCAAGGCCTGCCAAACCACAACAAAAACTATCAAACCACAGCAAGACCTACCAAACCATAACAAAAACTACCAAACCACAACAAAAACTACCAAACCTCAGCAAGACTTACCAAATCTCAGCAAGGCCTGCCAAACCACAACAAAACTACCAAACCTCAGCAAGACCAACCAAAACACACCAAGACCAACCAACACAAAGCAGTACCTACCAAACTACAGCAAGGACTAAACCGTAATAAGAACAACTAAACCATAACAAATACTTAGCAATTTTATTGGTCCTGATGTTGTAGGTTAGCCCTGCTTTTTTCCAGTTGTCCTACAAAAGTCAAGACATTTTTGTCCTGAAATTGTGCAAAAACACACACACACACACACACACACACATATTTTTCCATCATTCTGAAATTGTTTGTTGAGGTTGAAATGCAGTATTTTGTCATGCCAGTAACTAGATAGCGATTTTCCCCTTTTTGTTTTGGACTGTACGGTGAGAAGTTATGTGAGAGATTTTGTTTTGCCTTACTCTATGGAGGAAAAGATTCCAACTGAGGAGGAATAAATGCAAGGAGAAAGCCAGGCACCGACCACTTCCCGGCGTCCCTCGTTTTCCACACACGTTAGCTCCAAGTGGATGAGCTCACTTTGTTTATTATGGACCCGAGCAGGGTTTTAACTCTACACAAACAAGACCCTGAGATCCCAGCGAGCTGCTCTGTCCCAAGGTTTTTTCCTCCTGTTTCCCCCTCTCCGTTTCAGCCAGCCTCAGACCCTGAGTGGAGAGGAAATGGCTGGGTGTTTTACCAGAATGTGGAACGCTGTAATTAGTCCATGTCAGTAATCATTGTAGAAAACCACTCCACACTGAACTGTCATGGGTTTTTTGGCTAATGGGAGGTGGTTACTGTACAGAGAAATTGCTGGAGAAAAAGTTATGAGTTCCACACTGCCTCATAGTGTGGGTTTTCCCTGCTGAGTGAAAGCTTTCTTTGTTAGTGCAGAGCCACTATAATCTCAGGTGATTATCCAGTGCCAGCTCTGTCATCTTCAGAATGTTATTAATATTACATGCAGTATTGAAAGCTGCATAAATGGTTTGGTGTATTTAAACCATGTACTGTTTTATGATTTTCTTTGTAAGTAACAGAATTTTGACTTTGGCTCTGATACCAAGCTTTTTTTCATAATGTTGATACATAGTTTGATACTATGGCAAAAAATTAACACTTGCTATTGTCTGAAAACCCAGCATTCATTGTACTGAATTCTTCTTAAAACCCACTTACGCAAATTTCCCAAAGATTCTGACATTCATCAATGGTTTACTTATTTGGGATTTGTTCTTGGGTAAGAACAGAATCTACGCACATTCAAGAGCACAAATGAGCTGTGTTTGACACTTAGGAGAAGAACTGTAAAAAATAAATAAATCAAAAACTACAGTAGATAAACAACCTGCAAAACTCACAACTGTCTGTGTCCTTTTCTCTCTGTTACAGAATCTCCTCGCTTGTCTGCAGACTCCTCTTTAAGCAGTCATGACCCCACATTGGCAGAGTACTGCTCGCTGTTGGGCGTCGAGCACTCTGAGGACGAGCGGCCAGTGAGTGCCGTGTCCACACTCTCGTCGACCTCCTCCGGAGAAGGCCAGAGCAGCCCCTTCAGGGGCCCCATTCTAGCCCCATCCCGGCCCTCCCCACCCGCAGGCCCTGATATTGACCTGGAGCTCAGCCCTCCTGAAGAACGAGAAGAGCCTTCAACTTTACTGAAGCCTGGAAGCAGGAGGCCAAAGCAAGACCCCTCTGAGGACCAGTGCAACCACAACGCATCCAGCACTGGAGCCAGAACTCCACCACAGAACTCAGACGCACCTTCACCCGTCGCCACTGAAGCCATGGCGCCCAATCCTCAGATCACCTACGTGGACCGTGTTGTCATGGAGATTATAGAGACAGAAAGGATGTATGTCAGGGACTTGTGCAGTATTGTGGAGGTGAGTAAAGGAATTTTATTTCAGGAGTTGAAATGTTTTTATTAACAACATTTGCTTTTGTGACTCCTGCTTTAGATAAAGACATTTACAGCAATGGTCAGGTTGAAAAAAAAATGATTTATACAATTTAATCCCTTACTTTAATTGTAGTCATTGAGCCGATGCACGTCTGGTGTCTAATTTTTGCTTCTCCAGTTTTGCACAGCAGCAGCAAAACTGAAAGGTTACACCAATTAGCACTGAGCAAACTATATGCCTAAATCACACATCTGCTTCAGACCATGTAGAGATAAAGCATAAAGCTACATTTTGCGAGTTTGGAGGATTTGGAGACCTGTAGAAATGCATAATTGCACTCAACATGCAGAAGAGCATTTTGTACTTCAGACCCCGTCTACGAGCAGATGAATCTGATGATTGTGAGCACATTGAAAGATTATTCAAAGAGAACTCAGACAAAACTGAAGGATGTGTCTTCCAAAGATGTGAATTATCTACTACTGTCATCATATCTTTATCAGTATAAAGTTGATTTTGCAGTTGAAACCTCAACATCGAGCCAGACCTTCTTTTTGAGGCTGTGCATGTGACCTTAACATGCAAAGATGTATTACATGGTCTGAAAACTCCAGCGAAATTTGACCCTACACGTCTGACTTGTAAATTATTTCAGGCAGCAGCGCATGGACATCATATTTTGGGGTGACATCTGGAATTCACCTATCCATGCTCCGCCCACAAATTTGTTACTTTTGTTGTAACTACTGTCAGTTTTAAGAAGCTTTACAGAACACTGGCAAAAAAATCATCGTTTCCAACCCCTACTATGTAACTCATCGTTACATAGTAGGGGTTGGAAATACGACGAGTGTATTGGGATAAATTGTCACATTATATTAAAATCTGCATTTCTGAGAATATCGTAGATTTTGTCAGAATACTTACCTACTGCATGTTTCATAACAAATGGAGCATAGTTAGTCCTGTGTGGTCTAGCACAGTATGTAAAACATGAAATGACAATTATTGTATTCTTAGCTTTTTATAGTGTTTTTAAATGGGCACTGCTGGTTCTTCTTTGTCTGTTCCTACTTACTAAACCTCCTAAAAACAAAACATCATGTATCATGTATTGAGAAAAGGTCAATCATGCAATGACTGGAAAACAAATAGTCCTGTTTTGAATAATTAAAGCATTTAGATATGAAGTGAGTGGCGCATGAAAAGTTTTTCCATTAGGTTGGATAGAATTTTTGTCGTACTTCTCTAAAGCCTGTCCAGCCTCACAACAACTGCTATGAAAGAACACATTTGTGGATGTGGCTAAGAATGAATGAAAGCTGGCAGCCGTAAGAGACCATGATTAGTTATTAACACATTTTTAGGCACTTTGAGGTTCTTGCCAGAAACGGGCTTATTTTTTTCTTTGAGTTTGTCATGAGTCTTGATGTCTGCCTCCCATATGTTATTTCATTCAGTTTCAGCAGCTGATTAAACATCACTGACAGAGTGTGAACAGCAGTTTTGTGTCACAGCTGAGCCTGTGATGCAGCTTTAGCGTGAAACATTATTAAGACTTTCACACCATGGAGAGATACAGGAGTCCTAAGTCAGACATCCAGAGATGTGGGAAGTGGGGGTGCTGAGGGTGCTGCAGCACCCCCTGATTTCAGAATTGCAACTGTATATAATAATAATAAAACGTTCTGAACTTCATAATAATTTGATGGAGTTATAGGCTAGTTGTGACCCCCAAAGCAGCTTAATATTGTTTTATTTTTAATTATTATTTATTTATATTTTTTACATACACAATCTAACATGAAAATAACATTTTTATCAACCACTGTTTCTTCCACTTGGTGTGTGTGTTCTAGCGTTAAATCTTGGTGTGTGACTATGGGCATGACACAATCTGTTACCGCGCCACATATCAATAATCTGATTTGGTCGCCACGCAGTTTATTTGCATGAAGTTTATCCAGAACAAGAGAGTGGTTCTTTGATGCATCAGTTTGATGTGTATATTGATGTCTCTTGCCTCGTAATAGCAACATATGACGCATTCTGTTTGATTAAATTACCAAAAAAACAAAAAAGGGAAATCATTTTGCAGGCCGCATCAGTCACGTCACACATACACTGCTTAAAATTTCAGCACCCCAACTTAAAACACCTTCCCACATCCCTGCAAATATTTGGTGTATGCAGACTCTCTGTTGGAGTTCATTGTTCTCGGTAAAGCTGGAATCATTTCGTTTTTTTTATTTGTTTTGTTTTGTTTTGTTTTTTAACAAAAAATAAAATAATGTGGGCGTTATTTAAATAAAAAAAAAAAATGAAGCCTTTACTTTTGCTAAATATTGCAATTATGTATTTTGGTGATGGGTAGGGATGTTCATTTTAAATAATTTTGATATTCAAGTATCTAAGTTAATGAATAATCGGACAACCGAATAGAGAAATAGAGCCAGGAGAAATCGTTAGGTTTTCATGTTGGGTGAGTAACAGAGGCATTCACATGGTGGTGGCAGAGGGTTGACAGCAAACCGGATATTGTATTGTTTTCAATGGAGCTGCGATGGACAATTCTGCCACTGCCAGAAATGTTCTGCAGACAGCACGCCATTTGTGTGGCTTCATGCCACAGCCAGTCGCCTACCGCTGTGAGGTGCGGAACAGTGTTTTTTTCAGTGCAAACATGTAAATATAGCATTAATTTACTTTAAAGGTGAATGATTTTTATTGATGGGCAGCAAGGGCATGCCTTGCATGACCACGCCTCCTGTGGTCGTTATGTTTTCTTATAGCTGGACACTTGTTTCGGTATTCAAATACTGGCAGCTCGAACAGTTAAGAGTTCTCAAATACCTGTGCACATCCGTAGTGATAGGACAGAACACAGGATGGTGGTATTTGATATTTCCTTTTTACATGGTTTAATTCTTTTGGTACTGGATTGCTCTAATGATTAAAGACTGCCTGTGACTGTCAGGGCATTATGAGATCACATGGAATAGAAGCTTCTTGCTGAGTAGGACTTTTGGAACTAGAATTTCTTGATGGCAGAGCAGTAAGTGAGCTACTAAATGTGCTTTTTCACATTTTGGTCTTTGACAGTATCATGGTGCAGATGCCAATATTAGCAACGGTCAACAGATTATATATTGTCCAGTTGTACACTGTAAAAAGAAAGTAAGTAACCTGTCTGCCGTCAAGTTTTGTTTATTAAACATCAAATATTAAATTAACAGAAAAAGGATTGGTAATGTTGGAACTCTGCATTAGAAGTAATTGTGGGGAACAACATTATCTCTGCCAAGCCCTGTTCTGTCTTTCACCACCATAAAAACCATTTTCTCTAACCACATCCAGGTCCAGCCTATCACTTGTAGAAGTAACCCAGAGTTGTGTTGTTTTTGTTCACTGCATAACAGTTTTAATCCTACCCACAACAAAGAGGAGGCAGTGAGGTTTTGGAGTAAACCACAAAGTAGCAATTTGTTGTTTTTTTTTCTTCTTCTTCTTCTTTTTTTCTTTGTCAGTTCATGACAGTCCTTCCATTCACGGCTGTAACATTAAACATGATTGACTGCTGTGCTGGCAAGACCTATTTGCTGCTGAATATGGGAATTCCTGGGGTTTTTTAGGTTTCTCCAGGTGTTGCACCCTGTGTAGGAATGTGCCTACACTTCCAAATTCTGCAACTGCCGTAATTCATGGAGTTTTCCACCCCGCGACCTTGTACTGTTTCTTATGCGGTTTGGTCTTGAGATGGGATATATAACAGTGGGCCGGATGTAAATCCCACTTCATCCTACTAAATCCTAGACTGCTTCATCCACCTGTCAGGTTTCAGCTCCCACAGTCCAGGTGCACATCCACAGCTCTGTGTCTGGGCCTCCAGAGTGGCGCTTGGCTGAAACTCTGACCTCATTGCTGCCTATTCCAACCCACCAGTAGACAAAAACAAACCCCTCTGTGCCAGAAAGACTGATAAAAAAAACAGTATGACACTCAAGCCCATGCAGTGCAGTGACTTCACCACAGTTAAAGGGGAATTTTACAGATTTTTGTTCTAAGTGTCCTCATAACTCAAAGGTTGAATGAAAATATATATATATATATATATATATATATATATATATATATATATATATATATATATATATATATGTATATATATGTATATATATATATATGTGTGTGTATGTATGTGTGTGTGTGTGTGTGTGTGTGTGTGTGTGTGTGTGTGTGTGTGTGTGTGTGTGTGTGTGTGTGTGTATATATATATATGTATGTGTATGTGTGTATGTGTATGTATGTATGTATGTGTATGTGTTCAGTGCTGATAATGGTAAACTAGTGGCAAATCTGAAAACATATTTTATTTGGGTTCTATTTTGCCTTGCATGTACTTTTCCACTGTGAGTGTATTTAAAAATAAATCTTTTAGATATATTCCCAGATCCCTAATGTCTAACCTTATTTCCAAACTATTGTTTTACTGTGTTACAGGCATTGTGCAATGAATTTGTTACCATTTTGTGTAGTAACATTCTCTGATGTAGCTTTTAGAAGCATTAAACGCTATAATAAAACAGAATTCAGTTGATATCTGTGGTCACATATGTGTATATTAAATACTTCACAGTGTAGCCCAGCCAATCAAGTTTTACAAAGATCTTTCTTTTACGGGGATAAATTGCAATGCGGATCAGAGATCCCAGTCTATTTTGATCTGTATGAAGACACATGGTGTATAAGCATAAAGGACAACTGTATGACATGATCGTCATTGTTATATATTTTAGCCTGTTTTTATTATAGTGTGAGAGTAACTACTTCACAATTCCCAGTTTTCTCCTCTTTCACCTCTGTCTTGTCAGCAGCACCAAATTGGGCTGAACACACTCTTAACTAGTGATACACTGATTCGATGCTCTGTATCAGTATCGGCACCAGTTCTGTCCTTATTACATCAAGTATTGGCCAGATGT